GCCAAACAAATTTGTATTCTTTTGTTGTTAACTATAAACTTAATGACATACTTAAAAATACATGTTATTGTGTTATCAGTGATTACATGCATCACGATACTATTTCTGTTTATGTATTTCTTGGTAAATTAATAGCTGAACTTAAAACTTTTTTGTCTTTTGAACATATTCATTATTCATTATTTCAGTGACGGTTCAGCCGCACAGTACAAAAACTTTAAAAACTTTATGAATTTATGTTACCATAACACTGACAATGGCATTAAAACAGAGTGGAATTTCTTTGCAACTAGTCATGGAAAATCTCCCTGTGATGATTTTGGAGGAACTGTGAAGCGTTTAGCAGCACGTGCCAGTCTTCAACAACCAATTGATAATCAAATTTTAACGCCATTAAATTTGTATGATTTTTGCAAGAAAAGTGTCACGGGTATTTCATTTATTTATGTAGCCAGTGATGAAGTAGACAGTGTAAAAGGCAATCAAGAGAAACGCTTTAGTACTGGAAACACAGTTGCAGGTACTCGCGATAATCACAAATTTGTACCTGTAAATGAAAATCAGGTTTGTATCAGTCGTATTTCAAATGACAATATATCTTTTATTGCAAATTTTTTTTCGTTCATAAGAAAAATCTCTCCAAAATGATTTTTATTGCTTCTAGAAGTGTGAAATAAGCTCTTTCCAATGATGCAAATAAAAAAAAAAAAATTATTGCCCACATTGAGTTTTAGGGGTTCAAACACACGTTATTTTAGGGTGTTTCACTTTTATCGCTATTTTGCTTTCAAAATAACTCAGAAAAGACGTTTATAAAAAAGCTGATTTTTAATCCATATCTTTATGATAATATGTAGAACCTGTAAACAAAAAAAAATCTTTTGTTCTGGAGATATGACCCTACAAAAAACAGAAAAAATTTATGTTGTTGAATTTGTGACGGCATTTAGTGAACAATAGACTAAAATTTAGGCATAATATGAACCTTATAATAATTTTTTTGTAATCTCCACCTTCGGTTTACTAAAAAACCACGTTTTTAAGATATATTACCCGTTCATTACGAAAATATAAGACCCCAAAAATGCAGTTTTTAACTGCAGACTGATATTGAAGTTTGGGTAAGCCTTACAAAAAGTACCACAAAACCCAAAATAATAAACATTTTAATCTAAAAATTTGGCAATTTCCATGAAACATGTTTAACAACATACTGACAAAATTTTATTAAAATCGGAGATGGTAGAGCGGGGGCCTCTTGACCACTTGACGTGGAATGACCCTTTTGTAAAAGGCTTCTGACGATAAGATCATTGTGATCTTCTTTTAAAAGCCTTGTTTGTATTTGAAAAATATATGTAATTTATATTCACGTCAAATGTAAACAACAAGCAAAAAAAAAAAAAAAAAAATCTCAGGTTATAACTAGTTCTCCATAAAGGAAAAAAATGAGAAAAAACAATGAGAAAAAAACAATAAAAAAAAAAAAAAAGAACAATAAGAAAAAAAATTTACTGGAAAAGAACAATAACAATAAATTAAACAAGAGAAATATTAAAGAACAAAAAGAAAAGAAAATTAAAGAAATGCTTGATTGAAAAAGATGTGAACAATGAAGAGGAATGGTTTTATCCAGTTTGTCTAGGGAAATGGTGCAATAATACCTAAATTGACTGAATAGTTTGTTGTGTATGTACTGTTTGGGTACACAAAGACCACACATTAAACGATGTTTACTTTTTATGTGAATAGTTTTTATGCAAACTTGCTGACTAACATGAAACTTTGCATATGCATTTTTTTATTGATATTATTTTTGATAAATAATAACAATAAAAAAAACTGAGGAGAGCATATTTTCTCTTTTTTGATCCTTTGTGCCCTGTCCGGCAGGTGAAACCCTGAAAACATTTAAAATGTCTAGCTTTTTTAATATTTTAAATTTTAATTTTTTTAATATGCTTTTTTTCTTTTAAAGTATATTTCATATTTAAACCTAGCCATTCTTAAAACTGTATAACTTTTAAAGTTTTTTTGATTTTCTATTTTTTCATAGTGCTTGAGAAAATGAAAATTCTCAAGCACTATAAAAAATAAGTATTAATGGTTTGCTAAAGGACACAACATGAATGAGGCAAATTGTACGATTTGTGATAATTACTTGTCTGTCGCTAACAAAGTAGCTACTGAATGGGGGTATACCGAAATTCCGGCCGGAGTTTGTCTTTTAGATCAGTTTGCCTCTGGCTGGAAGTAAACAAAAATTACATTTGTATTTTTTACCTAGGTTTAACTATAGTTTTTCATTGCTCTGTAGGATAATGACTTTTTGATTTATTGACACAGCCTGTGTCACATGTCATAAAAAAGAAAAGTAAAGAAATTTTTTAATTCCTGCCAGAAGCGAATTAATCTCAAAGACACAAATTTCGGCCGGAATTCCGGTATATCCCTACAACTTATTTAGAGCGCCATGCTAGCAGCCATAAAACCTAATCAAAGTGTCAGCGTTATTGAATAAGTTGACGTCTTTTTTTCATCCTATAACTCAAAGATATTGCAGAAAACCCACGCAGCTGGAGCAACTTTGGCATTTTATATAACGTTTTCTAATATAACCATAACGAATATTATATTTGTTGTTTATTCTTATCTGGTGTCAGTACTGTGGCTAGTGTGAAAGAGTCTCTCCCTCTCCCCCTCCCCAATTTATAAAAGGCTATTTATTTTATTATTATTATTATTATTATTATTAGCGCCTCAAAATCTTAAATACCTTTTGTTGTAAGGTTTAACCAATGACGTATATATATAATTTTTTATACGTCATACGTCATATACGTCATTTAGTTATATTTATACGTCATTGGGTTAAGTATTTGCTCCTTTTTGCTTTTTTATGTCTTCCTTTAGGCGACCGATCTGGCAACCCTAGGTAACCCTAAGTTTAGATATATATTTTAGTAATATAATTGTTTTTTAAGCTTTTTTACTCATCACTCATACAAAAATTATTAAAAGTTTGAAACAATAAATCGGAAACAAGTCAGCTTAAAGAAAATTAGGAGGAAATTAAGGAAAAATATATTCCGAATTTTTTCTGGGTATTTAACCCAAACAGTTTTCAAAATTTTTTATTTTTGAATGTTTAACCCAAAAAAAAATTATGAACTGGATTATCTATGCATTCTGAACTCTCACACATGAAAGCCTTGTTCTATCCATATCAGCTTATGCACACTAAGCTGATTTAGTACTTCTTCTTTCAGCATAACTGCTGGTTTCTGACGACTAGTAAATTTTTCTCTACATAGAGCAGTTATTAACTTTTGTCAAACCTTTTGATTTTTGATTTTCAATAGAATTCTATAAAAATATTGACTAATAACACAAATAAAAAGCCACCATACTGATATTATATGGGTGGTAAAGCGCCAAAAACTCACATGTAAAAATAAGTTGAAAAACATTAGTTTATGTTAAAAAATGATTATGCAGTGTTTCTTTGCAAACACCAATATACTGTACTTAAAATTTTTAAGTGCACTGAACTGCAAATACTTTAAATTTTTTTGGTTTATAGTTTTTTTTGAGAACTTTTAACTTTGCGTCTAATCATCTCATTTCAACATATTTGTTGTATAGGCTGGTTTTTTGTTAAGTCATCCATATATGCTATTAGTATTAGCATTATTTTACATTACAGTAATAGTATTACTTGGGTGATTTTTTTATTTTATAAGTCAATATTTCGAACAAAAAAATCACCAGAGTTATAACATATTTGCTACTACTCTGGTGATTTATTTATTGTATTTGTCGATATATTATAGTATAAATTTTAATAATATATATCATTGCTTTGTGGAATTTTTGCTTGATGTAGCTTAGCGTATCTATGAGAAGTTATGGCACCAGTACAATCTCTTGAAGTAAATCCATAGGCAAAACAAGACAAGTCAATTTTCATCAAATTTATAGCATACACTTAGTATAAATCATGTGGAACTAAAAAAAAAAAGAAAGAATTTTTTATTGAATATGTATTTAGTTGTCAGTTGCAATGTTCTTTCAAAAACACTCAGTTTTGTAGAATACATTTAAAGTTACTCAAATATATGTGTATATATTTGAGCAACTTTAAATATATATATATATATATATATATATATATATATATATATATATATATATATATATATATATATATATATATATATATATATATATATAGTATATATATATATATATATATATATATATATACATATATATATATATATATATATATATACATATATATATATATATGTATATATATATATATATATTTATATATATATATATATGTATATATATATATGTATATATATATATATATATATATATATATAATATATATATACATATATATATATATATATATATATATATATATATATATATATATATATATATATATATATATACATATATATATATATATATATACATTTATGTTTATATATATATATATATATATATATACATATATATATATATATATATATATATATATATATATATACAAAATCTTCTAGTATCATATATATATATATATATATATATATATATTTATACAAAATCTTCTAGTATCATGTTTAAATACAGGCTATCTGAATGTCTATTTCAGTATTTCAAATATTATTATTTTTATTAGAATAAACTGAAAAAGGCAATCAGTTAGCAATTAATTCCTTATAAGATAGTATTAGCTGCCAAACATAAACTGATGAATAATTCAATCATTTTATGCAACCTTTTGACTAGGTTTTAATAAAATTTTTACTAAAATTTTAAGTTCCGTGTAATATTTTGGGTTAACAAAGATGGTGGCTGTTTTAAAAACTGGCTTCAAAATAGTCAGGTGACACCGTCTCCTGTTTATTAAATCTCCTTGTTATATGTGTGTGTGTGTCTGTATAAAATGAAAACATAAGTGTTAATGTTTATATTTAAAGCATTCTTGGCTTGTACAAATGATACATCAACAGACTTTGGGTTAACATCAAGTGGTTATCATGTGGAGTCTCTAATCTCATGCGTTACTACATGTAATTTATACCCTCCAGGAGTTTTTTCTTATGCTTTTTTTCTTGAAGGTTATCTTTGTTTTTGCAGAAATGCTTCTTATCCACAATTAAATGTATCTAACTTCAACAGTCCTTGTGTTAAAAGTACATGTTTAGATAATAACAATGGTTCGGATTGTTCTTTAAGTAGCTATGAAGTTTTGCTGCTCTCATTAGGTATTGTTGAATGGAGCATTTCTTATAACCCTATGGTTGCACTTGTTGATAATGAAGTTCAAATAAACACTAGTATATCAATAGGTAAATGTTTTTTTTTTGTTTCATTTACATTAATAAAAGTATTTTACAATATAAAATTGAATTTGTTTAAAAGTGATTTCTTAAATGGTAATTTCATTTAGCAACTTCAAGGATTTAAAAAATTAAAGTTGGTTGTGAAAAGTTGCAAATTTTTTTTTAGATGGTATCATGACAAACTCTTTTTTATAAATGAGTTTTAATTCTCTAAAAGTAATTTTAAAAAGAGGTTATTGCTACAAAGTACTTTTGTTTATGCACAATGTTTTAGAATGTTTTGGTTTGTGTTTCTTGTTCCAGCCATATTTTCCAGATCTTTAATTCTGAACTTTCCTGCTTTATTTTTTAGTTCTGAATTTGACTCCATGGAGTTTATCATACACCATTTATTTAATATAGTAATATCCCAGCTCCTTTTTTCTTTAAAATATTATGGAATTGGTTTTCTATTAAAATTAAAAATCTTTGCTAAATTTTACCCTAGCTATGTTTTGATAGCAATTATTTATTACAAATTATTATTACAAATATACAAATCTTTTGCACATCAACAAATCGTATCATTCTTTATGTAAAAATGTAAATTTTTTTATCTTTGAGAAAAACTAGTTTTTTAAAAAAGTTAAAACTAAAATCAAAACTAATGATGAATGGCTATATCCTTTAAGAGCTATTAAATATCTTGGTGCGTTAATTGACTTTAAATTAACTTTTCTTTAACGGTGCACAGTGGGCTAGTAGGTGGACAAAACTAAAAAAATTCATGTCTGAAAACTGAAATTCTTTTTAAAAAGTTTTTACTTAGATACATTGAGGACCTCAAAAATAATTACAATAAATTAAAAAAAGATATATTCTCAACAAAAACTCATTTCAAGTAAAATTTTTGCAAAAAAAAAATGGCGATAAAGGGAGAAAATGTTGTTTTTAAAAAAGCAAAAGTGTGTAATAAATTTTTAGTATATTGGTTAACTGTTTTTATTAAGATATCAAATAATTGTTAATATATAAAATTTATAAAAAAAAAAAGTTAAAAAAAAATTTAAAACCAGTTTTAGATATATTTTTTGGTAAAAATTAGACTTTTTTAAATTTTTTTTTTGGACAAACAATAAGGGAAAATTTGTGCTCTATTTTGCCTTTATCTCTTATACATATTTTGAAGGCTATATGCATATGTTTTTATAAAATTATTAATTTAGCTGCTAGTATCTGCTACTTTTTTTAATACTTATAATACTTTTTAATACTTATACTTTATAAAAGCAAAGATGTTTCTTTTTCAAGTTTCTTTTGAAGCAAAATCACAAATATATATATATATATATATATATATATATATATATATATATATATATATATATATATATATATATATATATATATATATATATATATATATATATATATATATATATATATATATATATATATATATATATATATATATATGTATATATATATTCATAAGACAGCATGGTTTATCTATGTCTAATAAAAAAGATAAACTTTATGTTTACAACTTTATTTGTGAATACTGTTCTGAATTTGATGCTCAGTTTGTAACCTTTTTGTCCAAGTATCGTAGTAAGTATTTAGAGAATACTGCTACAAAACAGCTGAGAAGTATGTAATTCTTTCTTTTTTATTTGGTATCATATGCCACATAGTATGCATCGCATTCTTATCACAAGAGAGAATGGCTTTGCCTATTGGCATGCTCAGCGAAGAGACACAAGAAGCTCAAAATAAAAACTTTTAGAAATTTTGAGAATCATTTTCCAGAAAGTGTTCACGTTCCAAAACAAATAAAAATTTATTAAGGCAACTAATGTGTTCTTCTGAACCTTTGATAAGTAGTTTGAGAAAACCCTTTCATCCTTAGAAAAACGCTCTTCCAAATGGAGTTTTTAATCTTCTTAAAGAGGTTTCAATTTTTGACTAAGTGTCCATTACATAGTTTTGATTTTCGTTGGTGTTGAAGATGGTGTTTACTTTATAAGTATTTAATATTTCCATAATAAAATAATGAATATAAAAGTTTGTTTGTTTTCTTATATATTCGTTATAAAATTTTTTGTAGCTCTAATTGTATAAAAACTTGCTTATTTTTATATGGTTGCTAAGGGTATCTAAACTACACAGTTAAAATTTAATTAACTGTTCCTGTAAACCTTTATAGTTAAGAGTGTTTTAAAAGTTTTTATTTCATTTTTTAAAAAAATTTTGAATTAAGGAAAAGTTTAAAAAAAAAATAACCAACTGCTTTCTAAGAGCCCATAACAACATAGCAACACCAAAATTCGATAATTTTTTGTTTGTGTTATCATTCAAATACATAAAATAGCAATGTAGCATTAATATTAGTTTAGTTTATAACTTTGATATTTTGAGAAAGTCTTTTTATTTAGATAACTATGCAAAATGCCTGTTAATATGAAATATAGGTATCCATGGCAACCAAATAAACAATCTAATGGTGCCATTAGATTTGTTATATGAAATATACTTTTTTTTTTTTTTTTTTTTTTTTTTATGTTGATTTAGGTGCCCCAAGAAGTCCTTACGGTCTTATCACAGAGCACCGCGGAAGAGCATTTAATGGGAAGTTCACGCCTCCTTCCTAACCAATGTCGCAAAACTTGCTCAGAGGTGGGTTTGAACCGCGGATCTTACGTTTCTGAGGCAAGTGCACTACCACTGCGCCACAGCTGCACCGCTGATCTTACGTTTTAATTGGAAGTTCACGCCTCCTTCCTAACCGATGTCGCAAAACTTGCCCAGAGGTGGGTTTGAACCGCGGATCTTACGTTTTTGAGGCAAGTGCGCTACCACTGCGCACGGCTACATATACTCAAGCTGCTTATTATGGGAAAAACCTGATAAATATTTTGCAAGTTATTAATTTTGTCTAGCTAATAATGATTTTGGCCCACTGTGCGGTGTCAACTAACTTGAGCTGTTTAATATTTACTCTGCATTATTCTCACCTCATCTATTGTTATCAAGCTTGGGGTCAAGTTGGAAACTATTGTATTAACAAGTTGCATCATTTTTGCATCAATCAATCTATTAGATTAGTAGAAAGTACAGAAAGTAGACTAGTACATTCCTACTCTACTAGAAATGTATGCGATGAAAAACTGAATACATAATCTTTTAAAACCCAGATGTATGGTAAACATTCTATTGTTTATCAGTGCGTGTGTGAATGGAATTCAAAATGCCTTGTATCATTTAGAATGAGTCCAAAAAACTATATCCTAAAATAATTTTTCTCTTTTCCATCTTAATCTGATTTTCCATCTTAAAATTTTCCATCTTAAACATAATCAATTTTAAAAAATTTTGAAAAACATTTTATTCTAAGTTTTAGACATTATTATCCTAACCATTAAAATATTCTTATAATTTTCTTTTGGTTAATACTACAATTATCATCAGTACTTTTTGTTTGTTTATTAATTTCTTTTTTTCTTCAATATTATAACCTGCAAATTATGATTTCTATATGTTTATTTTTAATGTATGTGCTATGTGCTTTAATCTATGTGTTTACAGTTCATGTGTTTCAATTTATTTCTTTGCTTTTTATTACTTATATTACATTTACAAAATTAGTCACTACTTTAATCAAATTTCTGTATGAGTGACACCATCCTGATAAATCATTGACTTAATTTTATAAATAATTTTATGCTCATAGTATTTATTATTATTAACTTTTTCATTGTAAATATTGTAATCATACATATTACTTTTACTATAAATTATAATAATTTTATTATTTTATATTATTATTACATATTATTGTTTCTATTACTTTTATTATTATTATTTTTATTATTATTAACAATATATTGTATAAATGATTTATGGAAAAAAAATAGCTTGTTGTTGTTATTGTTGTTGTTGTTGGTGTTATCGTTGTTGTTGTTGGTGTTGTTGTTTTTGTTGTTTTTGTTGGAGTTTAAATATTCTTTATAAATTTTTAAGGATCAAAGATTTTTAGTATATTTCAACATAGGTGATGCATCAAGTGCTTTTGTAATACCAATTCCTAATGACTTACCAACAAGCATTCAAAATGTTAATGGTATGACAGTTAATAGAATTTTTTATTTACCTGGTTTAAAAATATGGTCTCAAGAAATCGGGAATAACTTTAGTGACCCATTTGTTACTACAACCTTGATACAAATTGATGAAAAAGTTGGTGGTATTTGCATAATTCCATCCATGGTTCAAGTTAATGGTTTCTATAACTTCTTTTTGGTTATTACAGAAGGAACAAACACAAGTGTTACTATCTTCCTGCCAATGAATAGAACTTTATTTTTTCATGCAGGTATGCACAAATTAAATTTTGATTTTTTTTAGAGCATTTATAAAAAGAGTTTTTGCAACATTCTATTTTATTTAACTCTAATAAATTAAACCTGTTCGTATTAAAGAGAATGATAAAAAAAAAAAAATGTTTAAAACTTTTTTGAGTAAAACAAAGTAATAAAAATATACCAAGAAAAACTTTGTTGTTTTTCTTGAAGCTCATGGTCTCCATGTTAGCCAGTTGCTTGAAGTCTTTAAAATATATGCTTCAATCTACAGACTTTAAAATTTATTTAAGCAAGTGCAATTCAAAAGAGTTTTAATATATGATGTCATTGTAGAAAATTTTTATTTTTTTGCTTCTAATTTTTTTTTTAATCGGTATTATTTATTTTTGTTTTGTTTTTTAAAGTAAGCATTTATCATCAATTGATGACTTTCCTATAAATTTTGCAGAAAGCAAAAGATTGTTTTTTTATAGAGCGCGAGAACCAATTAAAATTTAGATTTTTTATAGAGCGTGAGAACCAATTAAAATTTAGATTTTTTATAGAGCGCGAGAACCAATGAAAATTTATAGAGTGCAAAAACCAATTAAAATTTAAATTTTTTATGATTTTACTCTTAAATATAATAAAAAAAGATATTTAAGTATAAAATAGACATTGATCATCTTATTATATATTCTGAATCTTTTTTCTTTTTATGTAAACAATGTGAAACTTTTTTCTAGTTTATCTTTTGTTTTCATATCAAAATAACATTTCTCCTAAGCGAAATGACATTTCGATAGAAGAACAAAAACATCAATTTCAACAATTACAAATTCTAAAATTTTTAATTAATAAAGAATTTTAGTAAACAATATCATTTATTAGAGATATTTGTGGAATTCTTAAACTTTTGGTTTGAAAATACTTATAGATTTTACAACTAGCTAATTTACAGACAGATTTTTATTAATTAAAGCAATAATTAATGTTTTATTTTAATAATAATTTAAGACATGGCAATTAAAATTGTCAATGTGTTAGAGCACGCTTTAAAAACATGATATTTAATATTTTCCAATTTATATATCATATTTGGCAAGTATTTTACATTAAAACATCTTAACATTTATCTCTTAACATTATAAATCAAAAAACTACTTAAATTATAACAATATTATAACAATAATAAAATTATAACAATAATTTATTATAACAAAATTATAACAATAAAATGTTTTTCAATAAACAATTTTAATTTTAAAATTGACTTGATAATGCTATACTTTTTTGCAATTTTGACCAACAGTTGTTCAATTTAAAAAATAAAATAAAATAAGCAACACATGTTTTACAGAATAAATTTCATTAAATATATTCTCACATGATTAAATAAGAATTTAGAGAATATTTGTACCCAAAGAAAAATTTTAAATATTATGAACAATTTGGCCAAATACCGAATCCAGATTGTAACAAAAAAGCACTGCCACTAGCAAGTAATAAGAAAAATTTAGCAAGTACTATTAATGTAATCTTTGTTATTTTTTGACCACAATTTGTAAGCGTTTGCTAAATAATTTAAGTGAATAGTTTTATTAAAAAACAAGTTTCATTTGCAATTTGACTTTTCTTTTCTACATCATCATAAGTGTGCATATTTTCTGTAGAAATTCATTTGATTGTTTTCATTTACATTTCTTTTTTAAGTTTTTGCAAATTTTTTTGAGCCCACATATGCCAGTTAACACTTGAGCCAATTTATGCTTCACTTTTATGCTAGTTTGTACATATGCCAATCTTTGCCAGTTTGCCACAATTATACCAGTTTTTGCAATTGCCTCACACATATATCAATATCCTGATAAAAAAGACAACAATGTAACTGACATTGCCAGTTAAATCATGCTTTAAGTTCAGACTGTAGTGAAAATATCATTTTTAATAAGTCTTAAGTTCTTTGTTCTATACCTATCTACATCAAGTTCTGAATTTATCTCAAAAATGCACAACATACCTGATCTGGTTATTTTTGTAATCTTTTAAATAGTTTGACAAATATGACTTTTATACAAAACACTTAGATGTAAATAACTAAGTATAGTAACAAAATAAGTGTCACGAAATATTCAGTAAAAAAATATTTTTTGCTTTAACCAAACGCCTAGCCAAATATTTGGTAATTGGCAAACTTCTATAGGTAATAGGAATTTCTCCTACACTGTTTCCACAAAAAAACTCAACCTTATAGCTGTTCATTATTTTCTCAGAGTACTTTTGTCTCCGTTTCATAACAATTTTTCACGGGGTCATCACGCAAATTCACGGGGTCATCACGCAAATTCAAGTCAAGTTGATTTTTGTAGAGTATAGACAAGTTAGGATAACATGATGTCATCTATTTCTCTGTAAAAAAATGGATGTACCTCTTTCATTTATAGTTAAGTTGTCATTGCAGGAGATATTGATGCATACACAGCTTTAAAATTTGGGCTGGCTCAAGTAGGTTTCACGTGGGGAGGGGTTTTTGCAGAAAACGTTTTTAACACAATAACAAATCTAACTTGCTTAATATTGTTGAAATCATTTTTTTGTTTTGTTTTTTTTTTTTTTTTTTTTTTTAAATAAAAAAGTTGTTCATTGTTTGTATAGTCATTGTAGTTTTATGAAAATATGTGGCTGTACAGTCACATTAGTTTTGATACACGTAACTATGATAAAAATCCATTGACTATGTACATTATGGTTATAAGAAATATTTTCTTCTAACAAAGTATCTCTGTTTTGTTGCAGGTATGTCCTCGATAGTTCGTTGTTATCTAGTTTTCTATTTGCGTGTAAATAAATGCAGAATTTTTTAATAAGTAACATATTTTTTAGGAAGCGCCAGTTGACCGGCTTAGAAAGCTTGGGGGGAGCGGGAGATGCACAATACTGAATCTACCACTGTTTATAATGTCTTCTAAGCAAATAAAACATAAAAAAAGTTCCATTAAAATAATTTGAACCCTCACTCACATTAATTATTACTTTATTTATTTTATCATTTGCTAAGTTATATTGCTTCAAATATATTTTTAATGTCTTTATACCACTATTGGTTATAAAACTTGCAGCAGAAACTTTTTTTCAAAATAAAAATAAGGCTTTCTTAGTACTAAAACAAATCGAATTTGTTTGAAATTTTCTATACATCATTAAAAAAGGGACAGGGAATCTAATAGAATGTGTATTCTTTTAATACTTATACATAATTTTTTAGTTCTCAGCATTTAAAAACTTTGAGGTTGGTTTTCTATGCAATTCTATGGGTTTATTGTGAACGCTTCAATTCAAGGAATATTGTTTGAAAAGATTTTTACTGTACAACTTTGTGATTTTAAATAAGCAGCAACTAACATTTTTACATCAGGTTTATCTGATGCAAACCCCCAATTACATATAGCCGTAATTCTAGTTGAAAACAAATGCTCTTCATCATAAGTGCACCAATGCACTTTTTATGTTTTGAATTTATTTTATTATGGATAGTACTTATTGTTATATTAAATTTTTTTTAGGCTTGACAATTAGAATTTTTTTTTTTAAACTGCTATGATATACTCTTTCAAAAGAATGTTTTTTGAATAAGTGTATTAGTAACGTTTTTTCTATTGCATTTTTTATGTTTCATTCTTCACTTAAGTATAATATTATATACTTATACTTAAAGTGAAAGTATATATATAGTATATATAATATAAGTAACACAAACAACAAAGAAATTGTTTCTTTTTCTCAATCTGAACAAAGGTTTCATTACGTGAAGCAAAAAAGTTGAAAACCGAAACTGCGTTCTATAAATAGAAAAATATTCTATTATTTACTCTTGATCTTCAATCAAATTTAATTTAGTTGAACGTTTAAAACATTATGTTTTTAATGTTTTAAATATTTTTTATTATACTAAGAATTGTTTTTTTTTTGGAAAAAAGAATTTCTATATGCATCATTAATTGCAAAATACATTGCATTGCAATAATTTTTCATGTGTATCTTAATGTTTGTTTTTTTGTTAATTTTGCTTGACCAAGTTAAAATATAAATTTATTTTTATAACAAAAAACAAATTGAAATTCTGTCTTTTCATCGATTCAATTGCCCATTCATGTGGTTCAAAATGCGACTATAAGGTTTAAAGAAGATACATTAGCATTTGCAGAAAATAAAAGAGAAGAAAAGAAAATGTAGTTTTAAGATTCATTTTAAAATAAAAAAACTTCCTGCATTTATATCCCTCAAACTGGCCCCTATGATACAGGATTAGTTAAATGTGGAGGGTACCTGGCTACTTAACAGCTTCTATCCAAGTATTTTTAAGTATCTTGAAAAGATGATTGACAACTCCTATAAGGAGATACAACTCCATAAGTGGGATTGTTTCTAAAGTCAGAATATTGCCAGGGCCCACTGATGATTGGCTTTTGCTAAATAACTTTGCATGAGTAACAACCCTGCCAGATTGCTAAAAGGTCTTGAGGCTAGATTTGATTGAGCCCAGTATTTGCAAGTTTCCAGATTTGTCAAGACACATGGATTTGATGTCACACATTGTGTGTGCAAAGTTGTTTGTACAGAGGTGCATACTTAAATGGATTCGAAAACCACAAGTTATATTTGCAACTTTCATATTTCAAGTCAAAATTAGTTTACTCTATATGCATTAATGAGTGACTAGATCTGTTCAATGTTGGAGTGAGTTTCTAACAAGTTTTCTGCTACCGCAACAAGAATTTGTCTCTTAATTCCAGTGTTTTTGCCAGTCCTTTGAGTGAGAGGTCATTTTTGAGGCAGTCAGCTGGTATTAACCCTTAATGCAGTATTAAAAAAGCTTAGAGAAAACTTGAGGAAACCTCTATTACCATCAATTCTGAGCTTTACAAAATATCCACCAGAAATTTTGCGAAATTAAATTAGATGATTCACAAGACTTGATAAATTATTGCAGTGAGCAACAACCCGAGCTGCAGAATCTTCTTTTATGACAGTT